GTGGGGACAATCATTTTCTGAGAAGAAAAGAAAACTCTGTAACCGCTGGGATGTTCATCTCCCACATACTTTCATGACAGTGGGTTATTTTGAAGTGTCCTTCATCTCTCATGTCATCAGCCACAAGTACTTCATTAAGGGCAGAATTTACAGCTATATGGCAACCAAAGAGTCTAGTCTACCATGTCCTTCCCACAGAGTGGTAGTCTCTTGTTTACCTCAGAAGACATGGAACCGATTGCACGTGTTATAATTTAAATTTAACAGTTTAACTTCGATGACCATTCGATCGGTCACTCGGAAATCATGACCAACGGCTTCATAAGGCTACCGGCATAACAACATAAGCAAAAGATTGTGTTCAAGGTGAGTGCAGGTACTCGAGAAGTGGCTGTCTGTCAGATGGTTGTCCTAGCAAATTCATCGCTGAAAGCGATTATCAACTAGTCATACAGATTTATTATAGGCTCAGGAGAGCAACCGAAGTACTTCAAGTTGACCGACAACTAGCTGGACATTAACCGCAAAGAACTCGACAGAGAAGACGGTAAATTTGGACAAAAAATTAGTCGATACGATATTTGAGTCAGGAAATCAACCCTCCACTTCATCAAGGATATCGTACCCGGAAAACCCATAAATCAACGCCGGTCTACTTTCTCATAACAGTCGTCGAAAAATAGCGGTGACAAAAGTAAGGAACAAAAACGGTTGCTACTGAGGAAGAGGGAAAGACATGGAAAGACGTATGTTCGGGACTTCGCTATGGCAAAGTAGGCAGCAAAGCAGAGTGTAAGATGTCATCATGGACAGACAAAATCAGAGATAGCAAAAACGCGACGGACTGACCACCCCTGAGTGGGTGGTACCCGCTGGATCATGAAAATTACCTGATCGCTGTTCAGGACCATGGGAAGCTAAATTTCTGGTGTACACGAACCACAGAAGCAGCAAATGGTGCGAACGAGAGAAAAAGAACAAAACGTTGGACGAAAGGACCAATGCCATTTACGTGACATGTTGAATAATAGTCGATCATCCAAAGACAGATTTAAACCGTGCGCAGAGTAGAAGTTTTTCGTTCAGGCTGTAAGGCCGAAAAGAAGCCAATCGCATCATAACGTTACCACATGCCTCTATTGAAAATTCGGAAGTATTATAAACTGAATTAAGGCTTTCATGAGATTTTATTTTTATCGACAGAAGGAGCGCTTAATTATACCTCACGTAATTCGAACTCGTTCATAAACTTGATTCAATCTTTTCGTGAATGGTCCCATGAAAGGTCGATAGTTCTTATTGGCCATAGCAATAAACTTGACTTAATGACATTCGAGAACAAACAAAATCTCTTTTTCATTTTTCCGTTTTTAATTTTACAACTGCATATGAATGAGGTAAGAACTCTTACTTGATTTTTGCGTCTTCACCAAATCTTGCACCAGACTGGACTCTGGCAATGGCATTTTCGTTGTGGTATCTACCAGAGATGAGGTGACCGGCTTTGAGGCAGTTATGTTCCGAGCAGCCTCAACGGTAGTAGAGAAATCATCCACCGTAGATCCAGCTGAAGTTCGTGTTATAACTACCGAAGATGGTGGTGTTGAGGAAGATAATTTTGAAGAGGACGGAGAAGGCCTTGGTTTTGTCGTCGTAGCGACTGGTACCTGTACCGAACGGCCGAAACAAGCCTGCTGACAGTCCTTTCGGATCTCGAACAAATCGGGCAAATCAGGATCGTTTTCGCACAGGCCATACGGATACGACACGCATTGGTTGCCTCTTCGGTAGTACCTCAGCACGAACCGGGACGGCTTCACTTGGCCGGTGCGAGGGTCCTGGCAACGTGCCTTGTATACCTGTCGTTTACACGGATCGACAGCGTCACCTGAAAGTTTAAAACAATTCAAAACTTTTAGTAACAGTCTTTTGAACGGCAACGAAAAGAGGCAAAACATAACAAGTGATCAGGAAGATGACGGATTTATCGATCATCGAACGATGGATAAAAATGAAGATCATGGAATTGTGAATGTTTTGACCTGCATGACTGCAGCTAGTGGTGAAAATGAAGTGCTTCGAAAACTAAGTATCCTATTTAAGTGGTGGACGACGGTGAATGGATATGCAGAGTATGCAACCGCATCGATCCTCATAGAAAGTGAAAAATTTGAACGCTCCGAACGACACATTTCTGAACATTGCGGGTGAAATCAAAAACGCCATTCTGTAGTGTCTCACGAAATGAAGGTATACCCAATGCCGATGAGAGCCGGCGAATATTATACAACGAAACAACCATCTCAAATAAACAACTCATTCACGACCCTGCCATCCTTCAACCGGATATGGCGGAGAATATGCGGTTTTCTATTATCTTAAGCGCAACAAGACACGGAAGATGTGCCTACTACCCGCAGAGCTGAGTATTTTGGAACTGTGCCAAATTTAACTGTGGTGCAGAGAGCGACCTTACCATCAAATGTTCGCTTCTTAATAATAAACGGCGGTACTGTAAAACTACACAAAACTCTGGATAATAGCTTTAGATTTTCCAGTTTAAGCGCGTATCTATGATTCGCACCTGTACTCAATATGAAAAACGAAAATTCACCCCCCCCAGTAGAGGTTGTAAGGACGAAAGACCCATGTTCCTTGATCCCTACAGCTATATCCATCGATCATTCGTCACTTAACCCATCACCTGCCTGGTAGTGAAACCAGATGGTCAGCTAACTAGCCAACGGCAGTCAGTGACTGATGGATGAACATCGAAAGAAATTCTTTCATGGCAAATTTTTGACTAACCGATTTAAAAACCAGAAG